AAAAAAAAAAAGTAGAGGTTTGGTTCATGTTTAATTTTACAAAACACAAAGTATGGCAATCATTGTAAGAAACTTAATGCCAATGAAGGAACGTTTGTGGTGGGGAGGGAATCTGCATTGACAAATATAGAAACTCTAAATGCTTTGGAGACACAGATCATTTTTTAAAAAAAAAATCACTTTCTCTGATCACACAAACCCTTGTCGCTGTCCTTCATCCATACCTCAGTTTACACTGATTTAGCAGTTGTGTTCCCTGGAGGAATATAAAGTCCATAAGAGCAGACACCTCTACTGTTTGGTAATCACCACATCCTCCAGTGCATCCCACTTGATCAGCATTGTTCAACAGAACTTTCTACAGTCATGCTAATGTCTATAATCCACACAGTCTATGTGGTAGTCACTAGCCACACATGGCTATGAGCATTTGGATTGAAGCTGGCTTTGGCAACTGAGGAAGTGACTTTTAACTTTGCTACTTTTCAAACTTTTTATTGCAATTTGAATGAAAGTTTACAGAGCTTCACAGAGTTCTTAGAAATCTTCTAGCTAACACATTATACACACCTATAGATCTTCTAACTAATACATTATACATACTATGTTCTGTGACATTGATTATATCCCCCACCTTGAAACAACACTCTCCTCATTTTTTCATGGTTCCTATTTCCATTCCTTCTTCTATTCAATCTCTTCTTTTGTGCTTTATCCCTGGACAAATGCTGCCCTTTTGATCTTGTAAGATTGTGGGAAGGAATGCTCTCCTCCCTGGTATTATTGATCACCCTATTAGCCTGTCTTTTGTTTGGCTAAAAGTTAAATTATGTGGGTGATTTCAATTCTAGGCTTGACAAGAGATTAAGGGCTATAGTGTTATGAGTTCCACTAGCCTGTTATCAGACCAATAAGACTTGGCCTTTTACTGAAATAATTTTTAGTTTTGAGGAAATTTATTTTTAAATTTCAATTGCCATGTATCACTAGTGGCTACTATATTGTTATGTGCCATCAAGATCCACAGTGACCCTAAGTACAGGATATCTGAACCCTGCCCTGTCCTGAGCCAGTCTCTTTAATTCCAACAAACCAATCCCCATTGCCCCAGTCACTTTATCAATCCATCTCATCCAGGGTCTTCCTCTCCTGCACTGTCCCTCCACCCTTTTGAGCATGATGTCCTTCTCCAAGGACCATTCTCTCCTGGCCACATGCTCAAAGTGTGTGAAACAGAGTTTAAAAATCCTACCCACCAAGAAGAGACTTGGTTTCACCCTCTCCAAGACACACCTATTTGTTTTCTGGGCAGTCCGTGGTATGTTCAAGACTCTTTTCCAACACCACAACTCAAAGGCATCAATTCTTCTGTCATCCTTAGTCATTGTCCAGCTCTCTGATGCATAGCAAGTAATTGCAAAGACCTTGGCCTGGATTAGGCACATTGTAGTCTCTAGACTGACATCGTTGCTTTTCAGAACTCTGAAGAGGTCCCTAATGACATAAATATATCACATTAAATTTATTGAATTTAATGGAGGTTTATTCAAAAGTGATCTCTCTTGAAGTCTTTAACTGGCTAACT